ACTATCAAGCCTCATGTGCCTTGCTGGCACTACTGGGATTTCCTCTCACTACTTTCTGGTCCCACCCAAATTACCAGTTAAAACACAAACCAACATACCAGCTCATTGGCTGTAACTGAGTCCTCTAAGCACAATGGATATCTGAAATCCCTGCCCCTACAGAGTCTCGTCCCCCTGCTAGCCCTCAGCTCCTTACCGGTATATCTCAGGGATAGCAGGATCTCTATCAAGCTCTCATCTGCAAGTATCTTACTGCAAAGCTCCTTTCCCTTCAGCTTCTAGGGCCAGACTGACTGCTCTGGCTCTGGACCTGGCCCTGTCTTATATGCCAGCAGAGCCCTACTCCCTTCCAGTCAGGTGACTCCCTGGGAAGTCTGTAGGTGTTTCCTAATGAGTTTGGCTTACTGGCCTTCAACATAGCCTATAGCAGCAGACCTAATGCAGACCTACTGTGTATTAGCCTTCCCTTATCTCCCACATAAGTCTGTGTCTTGTGTTACTGCAAGGAATCTGCCAGCCCTGCAGTTTGTTTCTTGCTTTTCACACAGGTTATTCCACGAACGACTCGTGCCCACAGCGGCTGGGGAGGCACAGTGGCGGTGGTGGTACGAGTGACAGGAGCATGGTGGCAGTAAGCAGGGGAGCTCCTGTAGACACTGCCGGCACTGTCAGCAGCGGGGGGTGGCAAGCGCCGACCAAAGATCAGCGACCACCCACAGCCACCGTCAGCAGCATCAGCAGTGGCCAGCAGGGATCGCAGACTGCCTGCAGACACCACCAGGGGTGTTGGCAGCAGGGTGGCCAGAGGCGACTGCCCGCAGGTGCCACTGATAGTGTCGTCGGTGCTTTTCTGTAGGGGGTGCGTGTGCACCCCCTATGTGTCACCCCTGGGTTATTCAACTACTGTACTATTGCTGTACTATTAGCAGAGCAATAGGCACTTCCCATTCCTGGGCTCTGGCTGCCTATCTCTTTATAGCTAGCCCTCGTTTTGTCAATCTGGGCTCTATTTGTCCTTACTTTTCCTCTCTAAGTAATAGGAGCCATAGGCTACCTGTTACAGGGATTTATAGAGTCATAGAGAAGTAGGGCTGGAAGGGACCTCCAGAGGTTGTCTAGTCCAACCCCCTACCTGAATTATACTGGTATAAATTCCACTAATTTTACTCTGTATAATTATACCTGTGAAACTTTGCCACATAATAGGCAAACCCTTAGGTTGTAGATTTGGGCACCTATACCCATGACGGACCTCAGATTAATCGAGTCTTCTGGAGTATGCTAATTAGCGTGCTCCAGCAGCCTTCATATCAGGTCTATTCAGTGTCCCCGCTTTTCAAAATGGTGGTGGGGGTGTTTTAACTAAAGCTCATTGAATGAGCTTTAGTCAAAGCACCCTCCCAGCCATTTTGAAGCATGGGATGCTGAATACACATGATGCTGTGGGTGCTTTAATTAAAGCAGCTCTCACAACTGCTCTAACTAAAGCGCCACCCCCTTCTCTCCTCCACCCCAAAGCACCTGTGTAGATGCCCGCATAGTTTCACTTTCAGGTTCTTACTCTTGCAGTAGAATGTTTATTTGTTTTAAAAGAATTGTTTTCACTGGAAATTTGATAGTGGAAACATTTCTGTTTGGTTTTAGGTTTTATAAAAATTTCTTTTTATATCATTTACATTTTGGCCCCACTTAAAATTCTTTTAAGATGGCATTCTTTTAATTTCTGTCCAGCTACATGACACCAAATGTTGCTATATATTAAATTATGTCTGTCCAGGCAATTGACCAAGCAAAATCTCTGTTTAGGCAGTTACACCAGATTACCTTAAAAGAAAATTAAGGGCTTAAGCTCAGATGCGTCTAAGCTTAATACAAACATAAATTGATAATGGGCACGTGTACATGAGATGCTTACTGTGCATTAACCTAATAAAACTGCACAGTAGTATAGCATGCTAATAGCCTACTGCGCAGAGTTTTTAAGCTAATGCACAGTAAGCATCACTGAAAAACCATGTGCCAACAATACTGTGCAGTAACTCTAGTTACTGTGCATTCTATTAGAGGTACTTATTATAGGTACTAAACTAAATGCACAGTAACTAAGGCATGTTAATGAACGCGTAGACACATCTATTGGGTAGGAAGAAACTTTGTATGATTACAAGGACAGTTAATTTCTGGCTTTCTTTGCACCTTCCCCTGAAGCTCCTGGTACTGGGCAGTGGAAAAAATAGATGCCAGAAGAGTACAATCAGTAGGGTCATCCTTAAAGCCATAAACAATATGATTATAATAGATCACCAAGTTCCTTGTATAATATTACATACATTGTATAATATTATATAGTTTTACAGTAGGGAAGATGTGCCAAACACATAGGGAAAATATTACTCCAATAATCACGTTCTCTAAAAAGATATTCAGTATATAATATTAGGTCAAAAGAGCAGTTTGTGGTCTAATGTAGAAGGAATGCTTCATAGAATAGGTTGGGTTTTCAACACTCATGGGAGAAAAAGCCTCATTTTCTTCAAAATATGGTGGGAACATTCCTGTTAGTTGAAATATTTCTCTGGGAAGAATGCTGTACCTCTAGCTCCTAGTGCTGCTTCTTTGAGCTTCTGCGCAGTGCAAAGAAAGGCTCCAGCAGTGCTTCAGAAGGGTGATGGATTTTAGGTGGTGTTCCTTTCGGGTAGTTAAGAGTTAATAAGTAATTTAGTTTGAGTAACCTTGTTCATGTCCTGGTGACTCATGTTAGATAAGTCAAACCACCACATTTGCTTCAATTTAACTTATCCATGCATGAATGTTCAGTTTCAGCATGCTTCACTGTTTTTAAAGGTTTTAGAGCACAGTATATCACCCAAAAAAGGGGGAAACGTGATGTTTTATGTGACATAAACTGCTGCATACATAGATTTGAAACCAACTTTTCAAACATTTCTAATACATAAAAAATGTATATTCCAGGAATTTGTTCTACTGGCACCAGAATTAAAAGGGGTAGTAATAAATGGGGCTGGTTTGTGGTTGAAAAGAAAGCCTGCATGTTCATAGTTTCCAGGGTTATTTTTTTCCCCTGTGGTGATTCCTGAAGTACTGCAAACAATCAATATTTGGGGTGGGGGGGAAGAAAAATGACTATGAAACCTCTGGAAAAGTGGAGTTGGGATCAGATCAAACCCACCAGATTTGCTTGGGCTTGTTTTCAAAGGGGAAGAGTTGTGGGGGAAGAAATCACAACAAAAGATGCCACGCTGAGTTGGCTGCCAGGAATGTCCTGCCCAGAGAGCTGGCACCAGGACTGCTGAGAAGAGCAAGTGGTCAGCAAGGCCGGACAGGAGTTGGCAGGGAGGGGGGATCCTCATGTTCAGCTGCTGTTTGAGGGGGCACACAGAAGTGACATTTTTTTTTTCACTCAGTCTAAACACAGAAAGCGGTCTATAACCGTGGCCAAACACAAGTGAATGGCTGCAGACCACTTCAAAATGGCTGATGGGGTAAAAATCTGAACCCTCATTGCATGAATGCCACATGCCCCTGGAGGCTGGTGGGGCCATGGCGAGCTCCAGCAGGTGGCAACACTGCTGTTGGTGATGGGAGCATGGCAGTGCTAAGTGGGGAGCTCCTGCAGGCAGCTGTGTTGCTGTCAGAGGCAGGGCAGGGGGTGGCGGTGAGCACCAACCAGTGGTCAGTGACCACCCACAGACACAGTCAGCAGTGGCGGCCAGCAGTGATCACGGACCGCCCACAGACGCTGCCAGCGGTGTTGGCAGCGAGGGGGGAGGGTGGCGAGCAGTGACCGCCCGCAGGCACCTTTTTGTAGGCAGTTCACCATCACACTCACAGGGTGCACATGCACCCGCGTGCACCCCCTACGCGTCGCAAATGCCTCATTGCATGAGGGTGCAGATAACGTTTCAAAAGAAAGTGTCTTCTGTAACTTGTATCTGCCCCCACAGTGTTGGGAGCAGAGCCAGATTAACACTTTAGTGGGCCCCAAGCAAACAAACTTGAGGGACCCTACTTAATACTGATATATATCTATAGTTATAGATATCTAGATAGCTATAGATATTGAGCTCTCTCTCGATCTACATATTGATCCAAAGATATATCTAGATATCAGTATTAAGCAGGGTCCCACAAGTACTGAGTGATAGTGATATATATATCACTCAATACTTAATTTCATAGTCGTTAGGATCTGGAAAGTACCTTAGATCATCAGGTCCAACCCCCCTGCCTTTGGGCCACAAAGACTGCTCGGATCCAGGGCTTTTTGAAGACTGGCATGTAAAACAATATGTAAAATAAGCACAAATGGGCCCCTTCTTCACTTAGGGCCCTAGGCATGTGCCTCGTGTGCCTGCGCATTCATCCGGCCTAGTGAGGAGCAGGCCCCTAGTCCCTTTCTCTCTTCCCTTCAGAGCCGGGGACAAGTGGGGGGAACCTGCCCCTGTGTGCGGGGAGAGGCGAGGCGAGGCGGGGGAAGCGGTGCGGAGACTCCCCCGCCCCCGGCCGAGCCGAGGGAGCTGGGACTGCCAGGGAAGAAGGGGAGGAAGGGAGAGGAGAGAGCTGCCGGGGCCGGGGCCGGGGAAGAGGAGCGAGGCTGAGCTGCGAGCGGGGCAGCCCTCCCGCGCTGCCGGTGCCCTGGAGGCGGCCAGCACCGGCCGGCGCGGGCC